GCCATGCTTGTGATTTTGACACAGAGGTCCATCCATGATACGACTCTGAATATGTATAGGGCGTCATGGAAAATGATTAATACAAAATTCTTTGGAATAAGCCCATATAGACGTATCCAACAAGCATGATTTTGTCCTTTTTTATAAATCCAATGGAATCATTTTTATCATTGAATTTTCTGCCCCTTTTGACACTTACATCAATGACGAGATGGAGGAAAAACAAGGCAAATATGCGGACCTCGCTTTCGAAATGTCACACTTGCATGCAAAGTAAGCAACGACAACACATTGATCTTAATTTTTTCAAGTTTAAAAATTCGGCTACTTACATTGGTATCACTGATTTTATATTTCTTTACTGCTCTTTTCGGTCATAAGTCATGATTACAATTATCGGAGAATGAATAAGGAAAAGAATTAGCAGTTTTTTCAATGGTTCGATCCCGGCGTCATCGCAGATTTTCTGAGATCACTGTCTTGAGCTATACGCCTAATTTAATCAGTTTCGGCAGATAATCGAGGTTATTCGCTGGTGTTGATATTTTGGATTAGATTCCCGGTCACAGCTGGTGTATGCGTCACACCCCAGTAGAATTAAGCAAATGGATTAATCTTTGAGCTCATAAGGCAACTAAGTTGTGTAAAATGTATTTGTCTGGAATCTTAAGGTTTACACGTATGTAAAGAGACCTATATTTAAACGTTTAAGACCCGTATCGTTTCACAATAAGCTGCCATGATTTATGTAGTAGCAGATGGTCCTGTGCACAACGCAGAGGTCACAAATCAGGCGAAGTTAAAAAACGCTGCTCGCAGAGCGTCCTCGGATGGATGATCGTATTCGGCATTATGGCCTCGTAGAGTTTCTAATGCTTCGTTGCTGACCAACAACGAATATAGCACTTGTGGTGTCTCCTATGTTCGATGTGCCCCTCTGCTCCGCCCAGCAGTGAATGGGTACCCGGTAGGATGAGATGTGACTGTGAACCTTCTGTCTCTTAAGTGTTTTTTATTATATACTACCCAGGTAGCCATGTAGCTATGCACTTTATAACCGGACTATCATATCATGATATAAATCTATTCACTCACTCATGAGTAGGAACTGTAAAATCTCAGGACAGTGGAAAGTGACACTTTTATTGTTATATGGTTGTAATTTTAGTGAGGTGAGGTGAAATGGGGTTTAACGTCGCGTTCAAGATTATTGCGCTTATGTAGCAACGTGCAAGCACAAGTGAGTGTGTGGTTGCTTTTACTAGTCCGGAAAAATGCCGATTTTTGCTAGCCCACTGAGATACCATGCCTCACATGAATACGCCATTCAGACACAGAATCCGGACACAGAGCCGACCAGGACTTGTTTCAGGGCCTTGTATGGACACCAGGCAGGTTAACAACAAGTCCCATTTTTTAACGTCTTTTGGTATGACGCTGTCGAGTATCGATACCCGGACCCTCCGTTCTCCGGGCAGACGTTCTACCACTAGACCGCGGAGGCGGTCGGTTTTAATATGAAACAAAACTGTTCCGTGCCATTCATACAAATACTGAAATCTATTTGGTTGAATATTTCATGGAATGTAAACTAGCTTGGTGAACACAGGGTATGCTTTCGTATTCCTTTGGTGTTGCTAATTGGACGAAACAAGAAAAGCACGCTATTGACACCCCTATACGAAGAATCATGTCAGACAATAGATCCCACCACCCTCGCACTTCCCTCAAGCTTATATTTACCAATTATAATGGGAGGGTGTGGTTTGATTAACGTGGAGGTTCTTCATATTAGATTTATATTGTGCACTGTCGCACACATTTTTTGTCTGATGATCTTCTTGTGAAGCATGTCAAGATAAAAAGGCATTTCACAGTTTTCTTTGACGAGCCAAGGATGTTGGACATAATCTCATAATCTCAGCCCAGTTTATGGAGTTTATGTGCAGTCTTTCGAGATCCGGCAGAATCCTTCGGTTGGATGAAGTTTGCTGGTCTGAAAAATGAAACAGAAGGCTTTATGTTTGCTGCTGAGGACCAGTCACTTTCCTCACAAAGCCGTCAATGTTTGATTATGCAATGAATTTAATGAGACTGTCCAACATATTGTCAGTGGTGTTTTTGCCCGGGACTTTAGAATCTAATTCTCATTTTAATGAAACGAACACGCATGATCACAGGCAGTAAATGTGCGTGGTGCTTGGTGTAGCCTTCAGTGCTATTATCTACATTATGCTTGTAAACGATATTATTTACTTGAACAGTGGGGTGGCTTAGTGGTTAAAGCGTCTGCCAGTCGTGAAGATAAGAAGGTTATAATTGGTCTTCAGCAACCCTGCTTGTCGTGCGAGGCGACTAACGGGATCGTTTGGCCAGGCTCATTGTTGACTCGCTACTTGAACTGTTTCTCTGTTTGGGGTGTCCCTGAACAAGTGAGGATATTTCTATTTACAAACCAAACATTCTCCACAGTCAATTTCATTTAGGTTTTCTAATGATTGTTTCATCTTGATTAAATATGATGAGCAAGATTACCGTCAGATATTTAATAAAGTATCTCAAACTATTGTAGATGGTTAGTACAAGCATGTAAAAGCATGTTCGGAATAAGTTTCTTGTACGTTCGACTGCACACATTCCAGTACTTAAGCTACGCATGAATGAGATTATAGTGTACTTTACTGTCGGACTATTCATTTGTTGAAAAGCAAATACATTTCTCTAACAGGAAATTGTTGAATGTTATGTATTGTATGTGGGAAAGATATCTAATGTTACTAGCCTTATAGCGAAGAGATCCGCATGGTATTATGTTTCCGGTGGACATTTTAGTCCTGATACAGTTTTACACCACTATTTTTGAGTGTTCTTTTTGTGTAGTCTGACATCTCGAGATGTTTTGTTGCACTTATAGATAGGTTTTCTTCTTTTGTATTTTATATTCATCTTATTAAAATAAATTAGTTTGTAAACTGCACCTTGAATACTGTTTCGTTCTGTTAATGAAGGTGCATGTATGACTGATTCGTTTTGGTACACCCCAAAACTGATCTTACAGCTGATGAGCTAGTTTACATATAAGTTACATGGGAACAATGTGTGAAGCCCATTTCTGTGTGCCCCGCCGTGATATTGCTTGAATACTGCTAAAAGAGGCGTAAAACCTCACTCACTCAATTATATATCTAACGACTAATGTTGACACATTTATCTGAAATATATTATATAGTGGTGTACCTATAAGACGTCAACGCCAGAGAAAAACAAAGCTCCGAAACAGTCGTAGGCCTATGTTAAAGTATGAGAGTCACGATCGTCTACACTACGACTGCTTTTGTAGAACAGATTCCTTTTTGCGGAAAAGGCAAAATTGTAGGACTGGATCACTGAAAATGTTTCCAAATTTAAAAAAATGTTATTTTTATCTTACAATGTTTAGGCAGTAGGGAAGCTTTCTGGTTAATGCGTTCGCCCGTCACGCCGAAGACCCGGGTTCGATTCCCCGTTTTATGCAGTGTGATTAACTATATACCCTTTGATGACATACTAATTTAGTATTAACGTACTGATAGCTTTGTACACAGATATACACATAAATAAGTAACAACGCCTAGCGTCCATTGTACGATTCTGACTATACAGTGATGCTACCCGGTGTTAGCTTAAAATGTAAGCGTATCCTGGTTCATGTCACAAATACATTCAAGGGCAATTTCGCCTGAAAATACACGGGAACATATTATTACCAAACTGCAGTCCAACTAGGGAATTGCATCGGACATCATATTTGTCACTGATGCGTACAATTTTAGAAAAGTCCTCCACATGTCAACCATTAAACATTTTGTAAGCTTTACTTAAGTCACGAACGTTTTAGCCCTGATCAAAAAGCTTTTGAGCAAGAGTCGTTGGGCGATAATTGAAATCGTTGTAGAAAGAGCATGCTCGATTATTTTTGTAAACGCCAAAGGCTGGAGCTGCTGGAATATTGCTCGAAAATAAAGTGTAGGGGACTTGTAATACAGTCCTGTGGAGAGTGTAGTGCCACTGTGAATCTTTATACATAGATCTAGATATTAAACAGATAAGACGCTTTCATTGGTCTCATGTATTTCTGGTTCCGGTATGTAAAACTGTGGAAGGGAATTAGCCATTTCGCCTTTATTAAACAATATCAGATCATCGATATACCTGCAACGTTAGTTAAACATTTTGGCCAAATTGACTTGTTTTGATTTTGGCAATCCGAGCAGAAATTGGCATTTGTATGCATAAAGAAACAGACTAGCCAGAGGGGGAGCACAATTTGTTCCAATGGGGATGACTACTTTTTCCTGAAACGCCTTATCACCAAATTCTACAGAGATATGGATGAGTATGTCCAGCATTTCACATAATTATTGTTTTCTCAGTGAACTTCAACTGACATTTGTTTTTATTTTGCACAAATTCTGAATACAGAAGGTAAATACTTCTATGGTCACCAAGTTTAGTGAATATGAAAACATCAAGGCCAGATAATAATCAGTTACCTGAAATAGTAAAATATCTGCACCCCCATACTTGAAAGGGATATTGCTTCAGGGTGAAAACATCGGAGGTGGTTGAACGACAATATGGTGATTAAAATGTAACATCAGATAACAATGGTGGTGGTTTCATATTCTCAGAGGGTTGTTTTGTCAGATCACAGTCGTTTTTCCGAGCTCATTTTGTCAGTGATTTCATTCTAGTACTTGTTTCACTGAAAAACATCTGGGGGTGCTTATCTTTTTTCCAGGTGAAAATATTGACACAGAAGATGTTGAGAAGATTAATCAGAGCGGGATTTGTCTGGGCGTGGTTAACGTACCACCTGCAAGAACTATACTTTCTACATTGATTGGGTGGAGGAAATAGCCTAGCCTATCAGTGATGTTCAAACGTAAAGTCCAATGACGACCCTCCACGACCCTATCGAAAAGAGTATATAAGGCATTGATACCTCTAAAGTTTCGTCTGTTTTCGGAAATAAGACGTTTTTTTATCCCTAGAATACTAAACAGCTATGAGATATATCCTCTTGGTTGTGGTTGTCCTTGTGGTGCTGGTAGACCAGGCCAATGGTAACTGTCCCCCATGTTCCGAAACCACATGTGTGAGGCCTAAGCGTACGGAATGCAGAAAAAGAAACTTCGTAAAAGACACCTGTGGATGCTGTGATGTTTGTGGAACTAGATTCAGGCGACCTTGTTCTGCAATGACACCAAAGTAAGTCCTTCACATATGATCCATTAAACGTTATAGAATAGGTACCTTTCTGTCCTTCTGTTAGACTATATCATGAGCGTGTGTTTATGAATCACAATCAAACAATGATTCGGTGTTCGGGAGACATGAGCGTATCCTGCGCCTCCGGTTGCACCCGTCACATGCAAAGGCAAGGAAATTTTCACATGAAAAAAAAACATGGGAATATATTGTACAAGTTGAATTAGGGAATTGTATTGGATATCATTTTTGTCGCTGATGCGTCAAATTTTGAAATGTCCTCCACGTGTGTACCATAAAACGTTTTGAAAGCTTTACTGAGCCTTGAATGTTGTTACCCTCATAAAAAAATTCCATGGTGGTCTTAGAAATCTTGGTAGAAAGAGCATGCTTAATTGTATCTCAGCGGCGGTCGGGTAGCCTTGTGGTTAAAGCGTTTGCTCGTCACGCCGAAGACCCGGGTTCGATTCCTGACATGTGTATATTGTGTGAAGCCTATGTCTGGTGTCCCCCGCCGTGATATTGCGGGAATATTGCTAAAAGCGGCTTAAAACCAAACTCACTTACTTACTCAATTGTATCTCAAAAGTTGTAAAATGTAGACACCAAAGTTTGGAGCTGCTGGACTGAAGGATACTTGACTATTGGAAAGTTGAAGTCATCCTTCTTGTCATGTCTTGTAGAGAGTTTTTGACACTCTGAACCTTTTTCATAGACCTAAATATGAAATATATGAAGCAGTTTCACTTTTTTCCTATATATCTAGTTCAGGGTAAATCAGTGGAAGGCAATTGTCTACTAAACCATTATTGAACGATATCAGATCAGAAGAAGTAGGCCTGCTAAAGCTATAATGCCTGTGTGTCCTTAATCGTATTGCAATGACTAAACTACCAATATGCTGTGCTGCAAAGAAAACATTGCAACCTTTTTTCATATGATCGAAAACTGCACATGCACTGTTCAAACAGGTTTATTTTCTTTTTCTTATACTATTGTTATACGTTTACAATCTTTTTAATACCAGTGAATGCCTTTTCCCACTGCGGAGAAACTTCTGTGCACTGCAAAGGTGCAATATTTTTCAATTCCTTTTTCAAAACATCGGAAAGGGGAATGATTATGATTATCGTCATTTGCAAGCTATGGTTTCATTTGAGAAACCAGTCCAAATAGGAAAATGTTCGGCTTTCTGCTATTGTCGTGCGGGCGAAATATAAGCGATAATGTTATTGTCATACATTCCATCAAGAAACATATTATGCAGACAGATAAATATTTTTCAGACAATCCAGTGTACAGGTGCTCAAAGAAGCGATTTCTCGTTCAGTTCGATTGTTTCACTTTTCAAACTTTGGTTACATGAGACCCTGGCGTGGCAGGCCTGAAAAACGAGACCCAGACAACAGTAATACATTACAGTAATAGCATTTCGCAATGATTCAAATTTTGTCCTGTTACCTACAGAGAATTCGGTACAATATGAGGAGGGCGAATTTCCATATCTGCAGTCAAAACCGACTCTGTGCAACCCGCTTTAATGCAAGGCGTGCTGTGAAGGGTGTGACCCTAACAGCTTACCCAAGGCGTCAAAGATTTGGGTGGGTCAGGCAACACCAGGGACGGGATGTGCGCCAATTGCGTTATACCTTATTTACAGAAGAATCAAAATTTTGCCACTGATTCACATATGACAGAAAACGTTGTTGGCAACGAAGCGGCGAGCAGCAAGAATTCTCGAGCATGATCGGTATGGGAGCGGTAGTGTCATGGTGTGGGGCAGTGATTTGGTTGTTGTGAATGGACATGTAACAGGCCAACAATATATGAAGACGAAATATTGCATCGTTGTACCATTGGCTAGAATTATCGGCAGGAACTGCAAGATGACAACGCTAGAGCACATCGTTCCCAGGTCGTTACCGATTATCTCCGACGAGAAGGCATAAATACACTAGACTGGCCCGCTTAGTCCACTGACATGTCCCAAAATAGAGCATCTGAGGTGTGTTCTTGGGCGGAGGGCATGCCAGATACCCAGCACCTAATATGGTCCACCTTGGCAATATCCTATGCAGACTGACTGGTGGGCCTCAAGTAAATCAACAGAATGCCATGAAGATGGCGTGCACATATCGTCCAGCATGGTGAACACTTTAGATAATGACCTTCACGCTCGAAATAATTTATCGTCATGACCACTTCATTATCATTTCATCAGTTCCCTTACTTTTTGTCCGTAGTATATATTCAGCAATATTTTAAGCTTTCTTGTGGCTTTCATGTCTGACATCTAGCAAGCCCTTTAATAAAACAATCCATTAAGGTAATGTCATTTAATCTTTTTTATCAATTCCTTTGAAACAGGTGCGCAAGGAACAGGTGGTGCATAAACATAGTGAATAATACCATGGCGGAGGCCAAGAGACACGTAGTCTTACCCGATACCTTTCAGGGTGTGTGTGGAAGAATAAGAGTCTGAAAACCTGATTAATACAGTAAGTTAGTGTAACATTTTACATCTACATTAATGTCTTACTGCATCAAAGTGCATACTACTCTTTTATTTTCTCAAATGGGTGTGCAAATGAATGTTGAGATGAAAACCTAATGTCTCTATTTGATTTATTTCCAGGTTCTATCAAGATCTTGGACCAGATCTCAGCTCACCACGTAAACAACACACTGTATTTATACTAAAATAAGATTAAAATATAACTGAATCCAACCGTCTTGAATTGTGTTTTTCTTGTGTCACCAGTATCCGATGGACCCAAAAATACGAAACCTTCCCTTTTAATTCATATTTTTTCCTTAGACGGAAATTAAAAAGGGATATTCTTCAATGCTGGTTGTCTTATGCAGTAGGACTTCTGAAAATATAGGTATTAACTTGGGACGTGAGTGCTGACACCCTGGTCAAATAACTTTCAGCAAGAGTCATATGAAGCTCTTTGAAAACTTCGTGGAAAGAGCATTCTCGATTGTGTATGCGTCATACTACCAGAGTATTAAGAAAATGACATAATCTTTGAAAGAGAGTCAATAAGACTAATAGGTAGTATTACGGTGATTGGTCTGGAACCTGTAGTTGTTCATTTATATACTACATAGAGACCTATAATAGAATTAAAGACCTGACTCACTTCACAAGAAGCTGCCGTGGTTTGTGTATGTAGTGACAGGTGGTCCTGTGCACAGTGCACATGCCACAAATCAGGCGTTGGTCCTTGGATGGGTGAACGTGTTCGGCAACTTTGCAACTGTAAGATTCTAATCCTTCGTTTCTGCTCCACACTGAAACACGTGTATCATATGTTGTGCTTCCTTTGCTCGAAATATGCCTCTGGGCCAACCAGCAATGAATGGGTACCCGGTGGGATTAGAAGGTAAAGTCACTGTAAACTATTTGGCGCCCAACAGGCAGTTTTAATTATTCACTGAGCTGAGAATGCAATACTGATACACTGACCGGGGTAATTATAATGTATCGCTTCGAACATTTATTGGACTTTGCTCTTTATTAGCGAAATATTATGTGATATAACAAAACACTATTCACCCACCCATGATCGGGCAAAGGGTGGATTTAAGTGGCGCGATAGTGGTATATTTAGGTATACTATCGTGTGTTTGTTCCCCATTTATCAAATACAAAGATACAGACGTATACTCTGCCTAACATGGAGATATATTAATATTGAAACGGTCAAAACTTTTCTTGTGTGTTCTAATGTAACATTTAGAAAGGTGTAGCCAGTAACAGCTATTAACAGTATCAAGCCTTACGTGGCCGTGTTCTTAAAACGTACTAGTTTGTTGTTGTTTTCTGTACTGATACGACACCTAAGTAATATTAATCAATAAGAAATTGATAAACAAATATTTACATTAATACATTACATGACATTTACATTTCATTACACTAATATGTCTATTTATGACACACAAAAGATCATTCTCCCCAAAAGTCCTTATATTAAATAACTCATTTGTATCAGTTACGCAGTGCTACCTGAATATACTGATTGTGCTTGAATTCTAGTTTCACTCCAAATATCGTCCTCGGTTCATCTTACGCATACATACGAAGAACCTGCGTTTTTCTACAAAATATTCCGTAAATTCAGCGTATATATCCAATTGCTTTGGATTCTTGGAACACAATGTTCAATGTTTAATTAGAATTCAAAATGTGTCTTTTTTTACTGCTTTAAGTCTATGTTGGCGGCTTAGTATCTGAAAGTGGCGACGTAGAAAAACTAGATGTCTTGGTGAACAATATGACATATGGTATATACAGTTTTAAAAGATCATGTCATTCTCATTATCCCGGTAGGTCAAAGGCATGCCACCATGTGAGCTGCCGGCCTAAACTCCTACATACATATATTTAAAATATGTTAAGCAGAAGATTCAATTTGTTTTCCTGTAACAAATTATTTCGCATTTCATCTTGCCATTCTAAGAGTGAACATGCTGGCTCATGTTCACTCTTAGAATGGCAAGATGAAATGTGAAATAATTATAGTAAGTTACCGATTTGGATTGTATAATGAATACTGATGAAGTCGATGCGTCTGCTGCAAATATAGCAGATCCCATAGCAGAGCTATGTTAAATTAATATACCAAATAAGACCAAATGATGCTCCATGGACGAACGGCCACGTTAGGAAACTTATGCGTGAGACAACTAGTATTCATTGAAAGGCTAAACGTCGTAACTTATCACCCACTTGTGGAAAAATAAAGACGAAGCAGGAATCTTGTTATACGTGAAATAAGGAGGCGTACATCGGCATGTACAGAAAATCAGGATAATATTAAAATATCGTGTGGTTGAAAAACATGGTGGCGCTTTGTAAAGACCCATATGGAACAAACTAAAAAGAGAGAGTCATGCTTCCCAGATGTAGAGCAGAATGATATTGTGTATGGAGATGATATTGATAAAGCTAATGTATCAAATAACTATTTTGTTGGCATGGCAAATGTTGATAATTCTGGTGATGAACTAGCGGTTAACGATGAATTGATTAAGGTTGACCATTGTCTTCAAGTTAAACAACCAGAAGAATCCGAAGTAAGAGATATATTATTGTCCCTGGATATTTCCAAAGCAACAGGACCGGATGATATTTATAATCGTATTTTAAAGTTCTTAGCTACGAAATTATCCAAACTATTATGTAATCTATTTGACGATTCACTTTTGCATTCGAAATTTCCTGAAATATGGAAATGTTCTTCTATCGTTCCAATACATACGAAAAACGATGTTCATGATTGCTCAAGTTATTGACCAGTTGCCCTTACGAGCTGCTTGTCCAGGGTATTGTAAAATGTGTTGATATACATGTTTTCAATTTTTTGTCTCGATAATGGCTTAATATCATCATTACAATCAGGATTTAAGTTGGGAGATTCTACTGTGTTTGTTTGTTGTTTAACGCCACACTCAGCATTATTCCAGCTATATGACGGTGGTCTAAATAATCGAGTCTGGACTAGACAATCCAGTGATTGACATCATGAGCATCGATCCACGCAATTGTGATCAAAGACATGCACCAACCAAGTCAGCGAGCCTGACCACCCGATCCCGTTAGTCGCCTCTTACGACAAGCAGAGTCGTTTTTTACAGCAAGTGTGGGTTGCTGAAGACCTATTCTACCCTGGATCTTCACGGGTTCTACTGTGTACCTGTTAACTCACTTATAAGATTTTATTGCAAAATCATTGGATAATGGTAAGGAGATTAGAGCTGTATTTTGCGGTATTAGCAAGCCTTATATAGAATCTGGCATAAGGGTATCTTTACATAAGTTTTATGTAAATAGAATATGAGGACCACTCTCAGATTGATTTGAAAGTTATCTAGCCAACAGAAAGCAATATACTGTAGTTAATTATGTCTATACATACAATGCTGAATCTGTACTTACAGGCGTTCCCCAAGGTTCAGTGTTTGGGCCATTTTGATTTTTAATTTTTATGAATGATATAGTTGAAGATATACAATGTAATATCTAATTATTTGCTGATGATGCTTCTTTGTTAAGTATGTGTTTAGATATAGAAATGATATCACAATGGGCTTTAGTTTGGAAAGTGTAGTTTAGTCCTAACATAGAAGAATCAATCTTATTTAGCAGGAAGAAATCCATAACCCCTATATCCGATCTGTTTATGGATGGCACTAAACTACCGATTCTTATAAACACCTTGGACTTACTTTGCAAAGTGACGGTCAGTGGCAGTTGTATACAAGTATTTATGAAATTATGACCAAAGTAAGCCAAATGGTCAATTGCTAAAGAAGTTTAGGATATCGTTTGAATACAAACAGCATAGAGACTTGGTATTACTCTTGTATGTTACTAATATTCTATTTCTGTGACTACATCTGGAATATTTGTACTAATGTCCAAGAACTGCTATCAGAAAAATGCAATTAGATGCCTTAAGAACCATATGTGGTTCTGTTAGAGGAGTGAATCATAGTAAAATATATAATGAAACGAGTTCTATTGCACAAATTGATCACCGGCAAAACCACAAAATGGGTGTATTTCACAAAATGTTCCATAATAAAACGCCCAAGTATTTATCCAGTTTATTTTCTTTTAACATTTCTGCCACGTATGGAACATGATCATCCAACATACTTCAAGTACCCGGAAAACACTATTTGCGTATGTGCATGGAAACATATTAGACATATAGTCGTTGCATAATTGGAATATGTTGGACGACACTTTCAGAAGTACTGAATCTTAAACACAATTTAAAAAGAATTACACAAATATATTACTAGCAATGTGCATCCTTTATTTCAATGTTATGGAACTAGAAAATAACAAATCATACACTGTAGAATGAGACTTAATTGCGGTGACCTAACTGGTTAGGAGTTTGATCGTTTCTCCATTACAAGGGATCAATATATCAATATTTCAGTGTCAAAACAGTTAAGGACCTTTTAAGCAATGTTAATTCACGTTTAATTATTAACTTCTTAAAAGATGTAGAACTAATTCTCAAATTTTGATGTAACAGGTTATGTAATGTAATTCGGTAGTGCATGATTATTAACTGAGATTGTTCGTGGCTTTGCCCTCAGCTCGACGGGGTTTAAAGTAGCGTAAATTTATTGTCCCCCTGACAGGGAATGTAAGACCACCTCTTTCAAAGTATATTTATATCTACCTCTATTTAAACTCCAGAATATTTGTTCTGGTTAAACTTGCAACAATCGCCAGTAACTTGGGCCATGGTGCAAATCCTGTTGGTGACCTTAACCTTGTTTCTGGGGATCTATAGGCCCTTTTTTATACCGTGTCGTTCCCCAATAATCAGATATTTGTCATGTCCTACAACTAGTTTAAAGTCAGTCTGTGATATATTGCAAGACAGTTTTTTATAAATATTGTACAACTTGTTGAAGTCACATTATGGCTGAAGTATTGCCCACGTGACTTTAATTACACTCACACTTATCCCCGGAGTGCCCAAGAAAATATCTAAAGTGACACGTCAGTAAAATAGAATATTTGGGGATGCCAACTTTTTATCTAAATGTCTTACCCCTACATTAACATAGATGTTATCAATGAGATAATGAGTCGAGCAAAGAGGGTTTTCGGTGATCCTGGCACAGTCAGGCTGGTTAGGCTCATCATCAGATCAGGGCCCTTGCCCCCTCTACACGCAGCCCAGACAGCGA